CAAAACGGAGCCAACGAGATACACTCTCCGTGTATCTGGTGACCCGACGGCCAGTTCTCGTGAACTGGCAGGTGTAGGCATAGCACTAAGTATGAGGGCGGAACAAGCACTGCTAGAGTGGATCCCCGTTAACAGTCGTTTATGTGCTGTTCGGCTCAACGGCTGCGTAAGAACTCGGAAAGATAGGGACACACGTCGTTGCCTTTTTGTCGTTTCTGCCTACGCTCCCACTAACTGCATCTCAGATGAAATGAAAGATGAATTATACAGAACTTCTTCATTAAGCTAAACGTTCAGACATAGTACAGGTTTCAGGTGACTTTAGTGCCCGAATAGGTAGTTTAAACCAAACAGAAAGACATTTAGGTGAGTATTTTAGTATTCCGGCATAGTGAACAGATAATGGTGATCGTCTGCTGCAACTGTGCTCAGACAATCGTTTATTTTTCAGTCAGTCAGCTACAACGTAGGACCAGGCACATTTATGCATCGGTCCAAATTGCCATACCTCATTAACACGACAAGATGAACACCGGATTCATAAAAGTAGTTAATTCAATGGTGGTAGTATATAAAAGAAAGATTGCAATAAGGATATAGTACAGGAAGAAAGAATTAGTTAGTAGAAAGAAAGACATGAAGCAATTTTAATCTCTTAGTTTAAGGGAAGATAGAGAGTGTATACACCGACGCAATTGTGATCGATTCTGAGCCATGTCACCAAGAGTCTCCAACCATTGGTTACGGCAGTCATGCGGACCCCAACCAAGTAGTCTGCATCTACCAACATGGCTCAGACTAGGAGTTAGTGACTTCAAGCACTAATGCCACGTTTTGGTTTGCCCGCCCCTAACTTTCTTCCGACCATCCCGAACGCCGGTTAGCATTGCACGTCGTGGTAATCGGTGTTCAGGCATACGTAACACGTGGCCCAACTATCTCAGTCGATGAAGATTCACAACTTCATCAACTGATTTACCATCCTTCCCTAATACCCTGCGTCTAACCTCATTATTACTTATCCGGTGATCTCAGCAGACGCCAGCAATATTTCTGAGGCATCTGTGGTCAAATACTAGTAGCTTACGAGTGTCTTCTACTCTTAATGGTCATGTTTCGCTGCCGTAAATTAAAACAGAACAAACTGCCGCGCAGTATACTCGTCCTTTTATTGATAGACGGATATCTCGCCTTCGCCATAGGTGACGTAAGTTGGCAAAAGCCAAACGAGCTTTTCGAATCCGTGCTGAGGTTTCGTCAGACACCAACCCATTAGGGCTGATCAGACTTCCAAGATAAGTGAAACTGTCAACGCGTTCGACTACTTCACTCCCTATCCTTAGTTCAGGTGTTGACGCAGACCATTCCTGAAGCAACAAATTGCATTTAGAGAGAGAGAGAGAAGCGCATTCCAAACATTCTGGCATTGTCGCTCAGTGCTACCAGAAGACTGCATTCTATCAGCGTCTTCACCAAACAGGACTATGTCATCCGCGTATTCTAAGTCGATAAGTGGACCTCCTGGAAGGAGATCAATACTCGAGAATTCAGTCGACGAACATGGAGCAGAACTGCTCTCACCGACGCGTTGTAGATCCGACCTTTTACAGCCAGACTTACATCACGAAGGCTCCAAAGGTTGCCCAGATTGGCGTAAGCCGCTCTGGCTTTCAAGATTCGTGCATTGATCTCATCACTCACACCCCCACCAGCACTTATGCAGCTACCTAGATACTCGAACTTCTCGACTACTTCCATCTGCTCACAATCTAGGGTGAGTGCAGGGTTATAATCCTGCCAGTCTTGTAGAAGTACTTTGCACTTCGAAGGTGCAAAGCACATACCATACTTACTGACACTGATTAAGTGCGGATTGCATGGCTTGGGCATTATCGCACAGTAAGACAATATCGTCCGCATACTCAAGGTCGAGAAGTCTTTCTCCAGGCAACAGATCCACACCACCATTACTTACATCCATCAGAGCTGTTTCCAGAATGTCATCGATGGCAAAGTTGAAGAGGAATGGTGAGATTGGGCAACCCTGTCTAACCCCACTGCTCGAATGGAACAATGGAGAGAGGTGGTTGTATGCCCTTACTCTGCCTGAGGTGTTTTTATGTAGGGCTTTTAGGATGTTAATAAACTTCTCAGGCACACCCTTCTTCAATAGACAATCCCAGAGAACAGTCTTGTCCAACGAATCGAAGGCAGCCCTGATGTCAAGAAACGCTACGATTGTTGGCCTTTGATAAGTATGGCGGTGTTCTAACATTTGGCAGAGGGTGAAGATATGATCAATACATCCTCGACCAGAACGAAACCCAGCCTGCTCCTCGCGAGTCAATCTTTCTCGGGTTTTGAACAACCTACGAAGTATGACGGAAGCCAATAGTTTGGACGCAATCGGAAGTAAACTTATCCCTCGATAGTTGTTACAGGAACGACGTGAACCCTTTTTAAAGATAGGGATAACTATCGACTCATTCCATGACGTTAGTACACTCTCTAGTTCCCGAACCTTTGTAAACAACGTCGTCAATTCCTTAGTCAAAAAGTCACCACCATCTTTAAAAAGAGCCGCAGGTAAGTCATCTGGGCCAGGTGATTTGCAACGTTTCATGAGTTGGAGTTCCTTGCGGACTTCCTCCTCGTTTGGTGGGTCAGTCGTCACCGGCCATGGAGGGCAGGACAGTCTGACCGATGTTGCCGGAGCAGCAGGCCAGTTGAACTGCCCTTCGAAAAATTCTGCCCATCTTCCAAGACGTCGATGGATGTTAGTGATTGGCATCCCATCATCCTCGCAGATTGTTTCGCTCACACCAGACTTCTTGCTGCCAGTGGCTCGGATGAGTTGGAAGAGCTTCCGGAGTTACCAGATGCAGCTGCTGCTTCTGTCTGATTAACACACTCCGACCACCAGGCTTCTCGTTCCTTACGCAAGCTTTGCCCAACTCCATTACGTAACAGCCTTCGTTTATGGTCAAAATCACGGTCATCCGGAGTAGACCGACGGGCTTCAATGAGTAGTAAGGAACCAGAAGAAACCCAAAGCTTATAAGCGGGACGTTTCGCGCAGCCGAAAGCGGCTTCACTCGCTATTTTCATAGCGTCATGCAGTTGCGACCAATGCTCATCTATACTTTTTGGTGGAATGGTAGCCAGTCTAAAAGCTAGCTCGGTTCGATACTTATTAGAAACAGAAGTTGCAACCGATTTGCTGACATCAATCCTTTGGTGACGATCACCCCTCTGGCCACTGAAAAGTAAGGTAAGATTGGCACAAATGTCATCGACATATTCTAAGTCAACAAGTGAACCTCCCGTTAGAAGTCCAACCCCTGGAAATCTAGACGAGGAAAGTGTTATGTCTAGAAGTACGTCGACGACAAAGTTAAACAAGAATGGAGGGCAGCCAGTTTGAATTATTATTATTATTATTATTATTATTATTATTATTATTATTATTATTATTATTATTATTAGCTTTATTCAATATTATAATTTTGGTACAATATAGAATTCTCAGCGCAAAGTATTTCAACAAGTTTCCGTTTCTTTCTTCTTGGTCGGTCCTGGCGATAAATATTGAGGAATCGCCAGTTAGATGTTAGCACTTCAGTGAATGAACAACTGAATAATGTACATTCTTTTCGTTGTACATTGCCAGCAACCATATTGTCTCTTATTGAGTTTTCTGTAACTTTGACAACGAAAGGTTGTACACTTTTCAGAAACGCAGCAGAATAGGTTATGCGATTAATAAACATAATGATATATTAAAACAAACAACAATAGATAACTTGTTGAAATATCTAGATGGCAGGAACAGGTAGCCCAGATGCTCAAGCAGGCCGCCCTTATGGTGCCCGTGGTTTCAGGAAAACTGTTTCAGTACTCATATTCATTGGTAACATACAATTTTCAACCGGACAGTGACTCCAGAACGTTTAGATACAGTCGAATTTCCACCAAAGACGAGCCGCTGTATAGGTATAAAAGAGGGTGAATAATGTGGTAAATAATAATAATAATAATAATAATAATAATAATAATAATAATAATAATAATAATAATAATTTGAATCATCTGATTGTTAGTTGAAGTAAGTAAAGTAGTTTCCATAATTATAGGCAGTTCATCAAATTTGTGTGTGGGCTATGATACTGCCCGGGTGCCCAGACCAAAGCAGGTGGTTACCTTAGGGGGCCACACCCCGAGCCTTTGATCTAAAGGTCTAACCCACAAGGCAGTGGAGCATCGTAAGGAGATGCAGTCCCATGGTAGCCGGTGACCGAGAATTGGTTCATACGCCATTTGTTCCCGCAGGATACTGGAGCCCATGTGCACCATTGGTTTGGGATCCGGTTAAAGCGCCGGACCTACGTTGTAGCTGACTGACTGAGACCCATATCTGATAAAGTCTAGCTACTGACTCTTACTATCTCCATGACCTGAACCAGGGATTCGTGATAGACCGACAGATGCCAGTCGTATACATCGTTTTTTTCGTCCCTGGTGCCATGTCATACTCTAACCCTCTCTGCTCTTAACACCCATTCCCAGCGTAAACAAATAATCGGCGATGTTGAACCTTTTATTAACCTAAAACCTATTAGATTGTATTTGGATAATGCCATTTCATGTAACTGGATTTATTACAATATAACATTATATTCTGGTTAATAAACTTAGATACTGAACTGTAGTAATAAATCGGCGTCTGGCCAAGTATAAAATCTGAATTTAGCTGAATGATGAGAGTCCTACTGGAATATCATGTTATAAATCTTTCTCATTTTTGATCTCACTCATATTAAAATGTCACAAGGAAGATTAACCTATTATCATACTTGGAATAACATTTGATGTATACATATATGATTTCATTATTACCCCATAGCTGTTGTCTAACAACAATAATCGGTAATTTAAAACAGGATTGGATAGATCTCACTATATGATGACTGTCTCGTAATACTTGGCTTTTTTATCTTTAGCATGCTCACAAAAAGTTTGTGGATGAGTCATTTATTGATATGGAAGAACCGGATTGGGATATTGGACTAGACAAACATACAATAACTGCAAGAACGAAAGGTTTACAGTCTGAAGAAATATGGTCCTACAACTTTAAATCAAGGATTTCAAAGGCTTGGATTTATCGTACGGACCTACAAAACTTAAGACCATTGTCATTATTTATGTGTAAGTTTTCCTATTCAGTGTACGTCAAGTGTTATATATACTACAGGTGTAACATACATAACGTATCTTCATGTGTTGCTCTAAGCCAATTAGTTGTATTGTGATTTTTATCTGCAAACTAATATTTACGAGTTAGTTACCTTATGCGATAAACTATCGATGTCAACTTTTGCTAAAAATCGTATTAAAATCAGGCAGTTGGTTCCTTTATTGTTTACTTTGTGAGAAAATCAATTGTAACTCAATGACACTCACTTTTGACTTCACTGTTTTCCTTCGGATGTTAAAGGGTTGATGTTCCTCGACCATTCATTACCATACCTAACCTAGAAGCTCATTTGACGATTAGTGTTACAACTTGTAAATAATTTACTAAGTACTGGGTTATGCACTCTGGTTGAGTCATCTGTTTGTGCAAAGGTTACTAATACTATCCAGGTACCCAAACGGAATTAAGTAAAATATTATCCAAGTGATTGGAATAATATATCTAAGAATATCATACTATCCTTATATCTTTGGCTTTATTTGTCAATAAGATCACGAAAATTTAGATAGAACCGAGTTTTCACCATAGGCGAGCTGCTGTTTAAATCGAAAAACAAGGATACATAAAGTGGGAATAAAAATGAGGGTGAATAAATGACGTGTGTTCGGGCACAGAGACGATAATTCAATTGATGTCACTATCTTGAAACATCGATTTCGGTGGCTTGGACATGTTCTACGAATGTCGTCCCAGAGAATTCCACGTCGTGCATTATTCGCCGACTCTGGGACTGGTTAGAAAAAGCGGAGAGGTGGTCAGTGCATGACATGGTGTCGTGGTATGAAAGAAAGCTGCAAAGGACTGGCTTGTGTTGGTCCTTCACGACTCCCTGGTTGGGATCCGAGAGATGGCGCAACACAGTGGCTAGAGACGTTATCAGATATGACTCAGAATAGAAGCCAGTAGCGATCCTGCAGTAACCTCTTATTTTCTTCATAAAAAGTGGTTGTGTCTCCCTTAACTGAAAGATTTCTTCTGATTGTACGTTTTTGTCTCCCCCATTATTATTATTATTATTATTATTATTATTATTATTATTATTATTATTATTATTACACTACCTTACACTAGTCTGTTCGTTATTGTTTTTTTTTCTCTTCGAATTCTCATTGTTTTGTGTGGCGCATATATATTTGGTATCCCCTTGTACCAATATTCATGTGTTCAAATAAATAATAAATAAAAAATACGAAAATTTTAAGGCTATTCCCGGTTATTTTAGATAAATGCAAGATCAAACATAGAAACTTGGTGTAATGGGAGGTCGAGAAATGTGTCAGACAATGCAATGATAATTCCATGAAGTAATAATCGACATAAGTTATGCTTAGAAAAAAACCATTCATATAAATGACCATTAGCGATTCCTTCTTTATCAAAGCATATTTTATTGTTTATGTAAAAAGCAAAGATGTTTAGTTTAGTGAGTTGATTATCACTGGATGGCGAGATGGTTTTTAATTAACTGCTATCTTACTGACCTTGATATATATATATAGTTATAAATTCACTAAGTCTCTATTATCTGGTACTATACAGTCACATCGTTTTATTATACACAATGCAATATCACTGACTTAAACGATTGATTAATGTTCAACGTTTCAAATAATATACATATTGTGCTATAGATTTTATGTTGGAAAGAATGTCTGGGTATTGCTATTTTTAAGGTTATGACAAATAAATTCTGAAGAGAATAAGCAATGCCTGGGTTAGGAATAAGGTACTTGGTAAGTCACTTGATAGTAAATCTCCATCAACTGAAGTGATTGAGATATGTGTTACATATGTCCAACCACCACCTACCTCGACGGGTGATGTGTGGTGTAGGAGTAAGCTGGAAGAAAGTTAAGGGCGGATAAACCAAAGCATGACATCATTTCATGAATTAATTGACAATTGGTGTAGACTACCTGTCTAGGGTCCTCGTGATTATCATGACCAACCATTGGAGACTTTAAATGACGTGAATCACAATCGTTTGGAATTGCACAGGTACATCCATTCTTTGTGTTCCCCCAAATTCTAAGCTTTTGAATTTGTCACAACACCTTGTTATATATAGTGTTGAATCGTATCTTCGATGCCTAATCTTTTCAATCACCACTCGTACTGTTACCAACTCTACTGTTCTGGAACTTTAACTCATAATTTCATCTCTCTGTACTAGTGGAGCATTTTAATTTGGACTGATTCACGTATTTACCAGGTTCTACGTTGTAGTTGACTGGTGTAACCTTACTCTATGATTTATAATGTCAGTAGATGTTAACTTCACAATTAACTGTTCCCTGCTCCGCGCTACATAATCATTAATACCAGTTTCTACCATACTCAAATACTGTCTAAATGTCACTAATGCTAGTCCATTATCATTTCCAAGCGCAAGCTGTTCTTCAGAGACGATAGTGATAGAATAAATCTAGCCTCCCTGTAGTGGCAGTAGAGATTCCCATTAGTCACTAGTGAGATCATAAATATTATTGTTGTAAGATGTTCGCAAAGAGCGTCTGATTCTGTTGGTTTCGACTGAACAAGAATTCTCAACGCTCTGATGGGAAATTGCGATCAATGGAGCTAAGACAAGTAGGGAATGTGAAAATGATATTATAGTTGGTTATGGTCTATGGTCGTAGATCATTCTTGATTGACTTGGGGCTACTAGTGTGGAGAATCGGACCCTAACTCATCGACCTAAAATTGCTCGTTCGCTGCAATATCCTAAGATTTTAAGTCTAATCCCTTTTGATTCATAAGTGCATGCCGCTGTGAGTCCTGAAGGGGAAAGGAAATATCTGTTCAACACTCCTTAGTGTTTAGTAGTCATCTGATTAAAGTCAATCCGTTACATAAACTGTCTCCAAATTTGACGTTCTTCAGAAACATCGTAACCAGAAATGTATTTTTATAGTTTTTCTGTAATACCATTAACTGTCGATTGAATAAACTAGTGTTTAAAATCTCTATGCTAATCAAGAAATCTTGTTAGGAAATAGGACTACAGTTTACTTTTTTTATCGAGTATACAAAGTGAGTTGTATTTAATACTTAATCTCAGTAGACTCATTTCCCAACATATATAATTACTTCCACAATAACTATACATGATCTTTTTTATCATAAATTATGGTTCATTAATTATTTCACTTCAAGAATCATCCATGAATACAAACGGAGCTAATTTCATATAGACAATTAATGTGAAGCAAAAATATTCAATTTTCAACACTGTCTTCGATTCCGAGTTCAAATATTTTGCTGTAGGTAGAACTATGGAATCATTCATAATGTCTGAATTCACTTAGTATCTATCGTTTGTGCGTATAATGATTTATTTCTGTTATAACTTGTGACCGCCAATTAATGTGCAGTGACTTATCGATCGGATCAATGACGCGTGAACCCGTATGAGCAGCCTAGAGTTCTGATTGGCCCTGCTTTCCACATAGTCCATCCAGTTAAGTCCAGAACACCAGTCTCAGCCTCTGCGATATGAATCATTATATTTCAAACATACTGAGTTTATATACCAATCAAACAGACCACAACGTACCAATAAAATATGGAATAAGATTTGTACAAGAATTAGCCAGATGTGGCTGTGAATGAGAGAGGTAGTAATTAATATACTGGGGATAATTTAAGAAAAACTCCGCCTGTAGCTCTTCTAGAGTTACTGCCGGTCCCAAGCCCGGGTAAAGGAGGAGCATGGGGTTAGCGACCCCATCCCGTAGAAAACTAACTCGCTAGAAAAACGCTAACCAGAAAAAATAATTCAGACCATTTAAACTCTGCCCTGGGAGTTAGAAGGTCTTCATTTAGAAGAACTATGACGCATCATGAGGAAAGCCGAGTTCCTTCGGAAGTCACAAGGCCTATGACCCTTCTGACAACCAGAGCAACAACTTATTTAGGTACATGGAATACTCGTACAATGTGGGAGACCGGGAAGACCAGTCAAACAGCAACGGAAATGAGGAGATACAACTTGGCAGTACTGGTAAGCAGATATGAAAAGGATGAATAGGAACTGGAAAGGATTGCCCAGGACAGCGTTGGATGGAGAATGCTGGTGAGCGGCCTATGCTCCTTCATGAGGAGTAACGGGCGTAAGTAAAGTAAGTATAACTCAAGAATGGTAAAACGTATAATAATAGTTTATGGGTCAAACTAAAACTTATAATAAGAGGAATATGAATATGCATAGTTTAGTTACTTAATAATTATACAATAGAAATATAACAATTTCCCACTCGTTTTTCCCAGACATTGTGTTCGATTAATGTTGTACATGTATTTTTTATCTAGACATTGTAATTTAAATTCCAATAATGGTGAAATGTTAATGATAATTTTAGATGACAGAGTTGCCTTACTATTAATTGAAAAGGTGAATGAATTGGAAAAAACAACTGCCATTTCAAATTTTGGATCATTAAAAGGAAAGGGTTTGAATCTGTTCAATGGGAAATATACTCTTTCCTCATCACGTAAACGAAAACCTAAATGTCCATCACGCGATCGTCTTATTTATCTTGGTAGCTTAAATGGTCAGCTATATGTTCAAGTAAGTTCATGCAATGCAATCATGTGGTGTTGAATAGAAATTGTGAACCTAACCACAGGGTTCATTTTTAGAAGTGATATAATCAGTCAGTTTGTCAAACACTGAAACCTTGCTTCAGACAAACTTTCTTTATTATAGTAGCTATGGTTTTGGCCCTTCGTTTTATAAAGTACAAAAGTAATCGATGTAATAACACTTGTATATTCTACAAAGTCCTACATTTTGTTTACAATAAAGTGTTTTGTGTAAGGTTTATATGAACCACTTTTAATGTAATTCAAGAGTACAACCTCTCTTTATCATGGTTAATAAAATAATACATTGTGGTTAAGTGTGCCGTAGAGTTTGTGCTTATTACAAACTTAGCAATTATTTGAATTCGGACTTGAAGTTTTGTAGATCTGACACCAATTGATATCATATTTAACGGATTCTAAAACCATTTTTCACAATTTCATTTGAGTTTTGAGATTTACTTTGATGTCTTAAACTGGTTCACTAGTAAGCGGTAGACTCAAATTTAATCAGTGCTAAAGTCAACCGTTGTGAGTTTTCTCAGATGTTTGCATTATAAAAGAATTCGTTGACCTTTTTATGTTTTCCTGTACGCGTAGATTAGTTCTCAATTAATATTATTCTAAATAATTATGTTATCATGTTCTATCCCTTTAATTCAGACTGAAGATGGTGTTGATCTTCCCAATCCGGAAAGGATAAATCTGTCTAAAAGTTTATCTATACATTCGGCTGAATCACTGAATAATCGTCGTTCTGATTTAACTGGCTACTATCAAGCATCCTATTCAAAATCGCCCAAATTGGAAAAATATACACAACCATTTATTTTATATGATAGTGTTGAGGAAACAATTGAAAAAGCTACCGCTTTAGGATTTCCAAGTAATGTGGGACAATTCAAGCCTATACATGATTTTCAACCGGAAACGATACCTGAAAAGGTTTTAACTTCGACTGATATTCAAATGAGTGACACTAGTGGTATACCAGGACAATTTCTTGACAATGCAAACGATTTACTTATGCTCCTATTACGTGCCAGTGAGATTGCTGTAAATCATTCACCGTCTGGTATTGAAAATAGTAGGTCGTTAGGATTTAATCTGTCTACACATTTCATGCAATTGGTAGTTTTGACTGGAGTAATTTATTTTACGGCACATTGGATAATGAATGCGAGGATTAACTATGATACACAGTAGGTTTCTTTTTTCCAAAAAAGGCAATATGCTTAAATAAACCTTTTCTATTTTATTTATCTTTTAGTAATTTGCCAGTTGATTGTTATTTATTTACTGCACTAATTGTACAATATTGAGATTTAAGGTTGTAAAGTACACCGACTGGTAAATAGTCTATTTTATGTGTTTTACATTAGTTTCATTATAATACCTAGAATTCACCTAATTCTAATACATCTTTACACTTGGATAGTGATATCTAGGACAGAATTATCTGTATATCTAAACCATACTCCTGTATTGCTTTCAAAAAATATAGATTGGGAAATGCGATCTTCTTAGTATGTTATCCTTTGGATTACAAAACAATGAGCTAATGCGAGTTGCTTAGAATAGTAGGATGTGGGTTGATGTTAGACTAATACATCTTTCTTTTATGGTAAAATACTTTAGTTGTTATTGAAACCGTTTTAAATGTTTTAGTCTAATGTTGAGTTAACTTTGAGTTTTATATCCTACTAAATTATGTAAAAAGAGATAATCGATAACAACCACGAGTGTATAAGATGATGAATGAATCAACAATACTGTTATTTGACAAAACTTATACTTATAACTAATATTTTAATGCCTACATATTTGTTAGCATACTTCTATGGAGTTTTAATATGCATCCTTGAAAAAACACATGATAAGGTATCTAAAGGATGAGCTGTTGATTCTTTTCAAATGGTAATAAATACAGTAGCAGTAGCGAATATATTCAATTTTGTTATTTTTTAAACGCGGAAGATTAAATAATTACGGACTAAGTATAGCCCATCATTATTAATAAAAATATTGAAATTCAGAATGGTATTAATAATAATTGTTGTTTTGTCAAATCTCTTAGATTCTTTAGAAGTAAAATGAAGTTAATAGTTATTGTTCTTTTATAGGATTTGTGACTTCTGTCCAAGCTATTTGTTTAATCATTTTACCTACAAACAAAGAATATCTGCTAGTGATTGTTTTGTTTTTATTGATGATACACGTTATTTGCTCTACGAATTTACATTGAACAATGAAACTTTGTAGGGAATTTCGATTGTTACGAATTCTTATGAACAGTTACTTAAACTGACTTATCATCATTCCAGTAGGCTGAAGGTGGTAAATTGTGATACTTTTTGTGAATTTTCCTATTAGCTGTCATTTTTGAGTAATATGCCGTCATATATTTTTCTCAAAATAGTCTTTCAATTTATGAGAACCATTCTTAACATTTGGTGATTCCTACAATCTACATATGATGTAGCTATTTGTTGCCAGTGCTACACAGTAAGCAGAAAATTGATAGTTTTTTTTATGTTACAAGCGTTTAATCATGGATAAAATACTAAGGCACCAAGCAGAAGAGTGGCTTAATAGCTAAAACACTCAGCGTCCAACTATTAAGTCATACATTTGAATCTCTCTCCACCTACCTACTAAAGTTTAAACCTCCGGGTAGTTCCACTACCCTTCACACCTTAAATATGACCTAAAAGCGGGTACAGGAACCCATGCTTTGTAAATTCGTTATCTAAAATACCAATCAAAATTGATATTAGCCACACCGGGTTCATGATTTATTGAATACGAAATAAATGCTCAAATCAATACACTTTGGATCGGTGACTGGCACTAAAAATAACTTACTACTAATTTTAAGTAGGATTTTTCTGTCTTTAAATTTACGTAGTTTTATTTGTTCTACAGAAGTTACGTACATCAAGTCACGAAACGTCAGAAATACAATTTCCTATTCATCGGGATATAATAAAAGTATATTTATTGTTGACGTAGTTATTGTTTTTTCATTAATTTAGGTTGAAAAACTATTCGTTTCAGTCTGAGCCATGTAATTTGGAATCAGTTGTTGTCAAAACACATAGCTCATCGGGAGACTTGTGTGATTCACCAAAATGTCCATCATGTTCAACTCCGAATAACTTAACAACAAATCCTTCATGCCAGTCTCTGCTTAATACTGCCAATATGCAACCACCTAGTTTTGTTTCATCATTTGAAACAGATTTCAAGTATATACGTCGACTTGGACGTGGTGGTTTCGGTCAAGTGTTTGAAGTTGAAAATCGTCTTGATGGTTGTCGTTATGCTATCAAACGTATTAAAATGAACGATACCGACGATGATAAAAATATATTTTTACGAGAAGTAAAAGGTATGCATGAAACAACAATATTTATAATTTCGAATTGCACAACTTTCTTCACCGCGATAGCAAACACTATGTGAATTTAAGATCATAAAAGCTTGTTGCATATTTATTTATAAGCTTGTTTAATGTCAACGAAATCGGAATGATATAGTGATTCACTGACTTTTATTATACAAATCTTGCTAGTTATTTCATATGAAAGTAGATATTTGATTGAATAACCGTTATATTATCTGTTCAACATTCAACCAGTTTATAGAGATGGCTTGACAACCAACTAGCTTCCAACAGTTTTTAAATCTAAGGTATATATTTATATATATATCGTTGCTTTTTGTATCATTCATAATCTGCGGGTGTTTTATGGGAGAACACTATCCTTTTTGTTGTTTTCAGCTTTTCATATTCATGTATCTATGATTATGCAACATGGGTAGTTTAATTAACATCAAGAAGTCTAATAATTCCCATTCATTTAATACTTGAAATCTTTAAGTGAATTGAAGCCTGATTGATTACCGATATACTAGTCATGGTAAGGCGTGATTAGCGAATGAACTCCCGACCGTTGCTGCTATTTTGATATGGTGGTCGGGCTTGCCTATCGTGATGAACCAGTCGGGCTATGCTGGCTGAAACAATCGTTCCTCAAGGTCCTACCATACCAGACAGGTTGGTTGAAGAACGGTAAGACTAAAGACAGCAAACCCGAGGTCAAAGGGCGAAGTCGCACTGCAGACTGTACAGAAGTATGACGGCAGTAAGGTGTTTCCGTCAAACAACCAGCATAACAGCGATGCTGCCTTCCCACAAGGAGGGGTGGGGTGTGGTTAGAAAAGGTCGACCTTAGAAATGCACACCCGCCTTGTCCCACGAATATCCGTCTCTGGCGGTAAGGTCTCAACAAGTACTGAGTTAACACATTGTTTTACTGGCCTCAAACAGTTGTCCCTTGGGCACTGCGGTCACTCTCAGGTAGCTAAGACCAACTCTAACTCAGTTCGTTTTACAGTTACCTCTAGGAGAACCCTTCTACGGTATTGGCAACCGGGAAGTGATAACCACCCTCATGCCTGTTACAGTACTCAGCGATTGAGCAAAGCATGATCCATCCGACTACGCTATATATATATATATATATAATATTGCAAATGTCGTCCACTGTTGATTTGTACTCTAGACTCACTCTGTGTAAACCGCTTGTATTTCAGTTGATAAGCTATTGTGGGCACATATTCGATTCTTAATTATTGGTCGGATATCGAATGTCTGTGTTACTTATTTCGCCATCAGTTTAGTCAAGTCTTATTGATCATACTGACCGTATTATTTCGTATCTATTATCGAAAGTTATCAAATTTCTAATTCCTTCCGTTGTATTAATTACTTTAAATTATAGTCTGAATGATTTTTGCTTAGCTTTTAGTAGTTACTTATGTATTTTTCCATTCAGTTTTTCAATCTTTATTATCTCTGTCCCCAAAATAGTAACTAACCCGTATTTCCTTATATTATTGTGATCTTAATTCATATTATTGCTGGCATTATTAAGGCTAGAAATATTCTATTTATTCTTTTCATTTATACATGTATTTTGGTTTAGTTAATTCTTCTGTGGATTTTCTGAAGTTCTATTTCTAGTACATTCATAGATCGATAATGGAAATAGTTTTTCAGTATTAAAAATAGATTTTGTACACAATTCCATGCGAAATCTTTTTTTGTGCTTCTTCTCTCAGCTTTAGCTACACTTGACCATCCAGGCATTGTCCGCTACCATCGGGCTTGGAAGGAATATCCTCCTGCTGGTTGGCAAGAGTCACATGATGAATTAGTACTCGGTTTATCTGACGACTTAACTTCCAGAAGCGGCGACTGTACAGATTGTGGGAACAATGAGAATTGTCTATCAAATACTCTCTTTTCGTCAATTATCGATTCGCGCCATTCAAGTGTATCGCTTTGCGTAGATAAAAGCTCAATAGGATTGAATGAGTCTCATCACTCCAGGTGCGTGATTTCTTATTATTTAAATTAGGGTTATTAACTCTAGGTTTAGAATTATTCTGACTGGATTTTTATTTGTTAATAAACATGGACTAATCAACTTAAAATGAACTATTGATTTTTATTATCCTGTAGCATAAGAACCCTCCATTCTAGCATTTATTCCTTAGTGGTAATCAGCAAGTGATCGAGGAGTGCCTTCAACAACAATATTCCACTCATGGGGTTATAATTTACAAATTGAACAAAAACGTTACTTTCCTGAAAACTGAATAATACATTAAATAGGTCAAAAGTATCACTTGCTTAACAATTTCACCTTTGAACTATCCCGCATCATTTTGTAGAAGGAGATGGTAAAATGGGCAAGATTTCAATTCTTTAGAGGGTGAGCTGTCCATAAAACTGGTATTCTCCAATCGTTTATGACATCTCGTAGTGTTTATTTTGTGTCACTATTTTGTATTTAAGCATATTATTTAAATAGAAGAGAATCTACTTTATCGGCTAGCTGTTTTATCTTCTAGTATCGATTCAAATGGAGGCTAACGTCAATATTCCTCCAATCTTGGAAACAGTCTTCACCCGTTTACACTGTATCACTGCATTGCATATACCAATCAACATTCTATTCATCCATTTCTAATATCATAGCTCGCTTCCACTTATAAAATCCTACTTCATAACCGAATTTCCTACCGAAGTGTTAAACGAATATAATCCTCTTATTTCAACTTTATATCGTCTGTTCAAAATCTTACTCAGCTGGAGAAGCAAAATATTCAGAGTTTGTGAGAAGTTTTGAATTATCTTATGCTCTGTTAATCTCATTCAATTATGACTGATGTTTATAGGACTCAAACCTTTTTCTATATTAGCAATATTCTCTAGTTGTTTTATTTTTGATTGCATTTCAGCTATCGAAAGCTTTCAAAAGCTTGTTTGGATGACAGTCTTATCGTTTTTGATCATCAAGTCAGTACTGAAACATTTTCATTAGATGGTTCAAGCCTTGTAGAACAATCCATCAAAGATAAATCTAAAAATGAAACTAAATATACATGCTACTTGTACATTCAAATGCAATTATGTTCTCCAATAAGTTTACGTGATTGGCTTGTTTCTCATAGTATTCCAGAATCACGTCCACCACGAATTGAATTGATTTGTATGTTTCGTCAAATTGTTGAAGCTGTAGCTTATTTACATGATCATTCTTTAATGCATCGTGATTTGAAACCTTCAAATATCCTGTTTGATTTAACCAATCGTCTTAAACTTGCAGATTTTGGTTTAGTTACTTCTATGGTCGATGATAAATTAAATCAATCAGACAGCTCTTGTATTAATTGCAATAAACAAGGGGAGCAGCCCTCATGTTCTTCAGTGACTACTATTGTAAATGATTTGAATGGTGAATCAGAGCATAATAATAACAATGCCATTATCGATCGACAACTATATCCTTTGAAAGAAATTAGCACTGCTCAACAAAAGCGTTCTGTATTGACACGTAGACATACTGATCACGTGGGAACAGATCTATACATGAGTCCTGAGCAAGTAAGATATTTTAGCTAAATTATGTTTTAGAAATCATTGTCATTTGATTAGCTATTATATTATTGTACAAACATAATTTATGTTGGCGGTTCTCACATTTCTCTGGTTTTTAATTTTTTCGCTGAAATTATTAAGTCTCTGTAAATGATGACTACTAGTTCAGTCAGTCAGTCAGACTGACTTGTTGAGACCTTACCGCCAGAGACGGATATTCGTGGGACAAGGTGAGGTGTGCATTTTTAAGGTCGACCTTTTCTAACCCTACCCCACCCCTCCTTGTGGGAAGGCAGCATCGCTGTTATGCTGGTTGTCTGATGGAAACACCTTACTGCTGTCACACCTCTGTACAGTCAGCAGTACGACTTCGCCTTCGGACCTTGGGTTTGTTGCTTTTAGTCTTACCGTTCTTCAACCTTCCTTTCTGACGTGGTAGGACCTTGAGGAACAGTTGTTGCAGTCAGTATAGCTCGGTCGCTTCATCACGATAGGCAAACCCGACCACCACGTCAAGGTAGCAACAACGGTCGGACCAGTATCCTGAAGGAACAAATGGCCTATGAACCAATCGTTGGTCACCGGCTACTATGGGATTGCATCTCCTCACGATGCTGCACTGCCTTGTGGGTCAGACCTGTAGGTTAAAGGCTCGGGGTGTGGCCCCCTAAGAAAACCACCTGCTTCGGTTTGGGCACCCAGGCAGTATCACAGCCTTCACACAAATTAAACGAGATTTGTGTGGTGCATATGTATTTGGTGCCTCCTTGTACCAATATCTGTGTTAAAATAATAATAATAATAATTCCAATTCTGTTTAGTCGAATCTAAAAAAACCTGCGATATGGTTGAGGTCATATTCAATGTGTTCGTTTGCTTTAGGTACGGTGTGAAATTAGATGGTGGTTGGAGGTAGTCAACAGGGAACCCCTGACCCGTGTTTCGTGCTACTTGGCACTCGTCAGCAAGGTGTACCTGTAATCTTGAGGGGACTGGTGCTCCCTGGTGGATTCGATCTCGTGTCACCCAGCTTCATATGATCGATAGCATTCGATCTGCACTAATAAGGACTAGACGCGCATGACATTGATCACCACCCAGTGATCAATCAATTGTGTTTGGGTACGATGTATTACACTTGGCCTACTTAGTTTATGACGATCTGTCTTAAACAAATTCCGTCGATCAAGGGACTCCTTGTAATTTATAAGTCCATCGATACAACATAATGCCACACGTACCATAGTGGTTGGTATGTTTCCTTGATTGTCTGTTTTATGGAGGAACGAGAATAAGATGCCTTAGAGTTTACTCATAAAATTTTTCACTCAGTTTAGAATATCCCCTAGAAGCTAATATTATCGTCAAGTTTGGTTGATGAAAATGAATGCTATCTAACCACTGTTCAAAATGTTTTTATACGTTTGTTTAAATTTTTATAAGTTAAATGACCAAAGGAAATGAATTTATTTCACTGCTGCTTATTTTGTGCTAAAGGCTCTTTACTGTGGTCAAACACGTCTTCTTGATTATAGCGATTATGATAATCGCTCGGGACTAATTGCTTTAAAAATTCCTCTATATTGAATTATAAAGGATCTGTTTTCTCAATAGTTCATTAAGTATGCTAGTAGGTTATTTATTAAATCCGCGTTTATGACAGTAACGAGCCTTTAATTACTTTAGGGCGTTATATATCCCACTTATAATAAGCTGGAGTCTAGTTCCATAGTATACCTCACTATTAACAATACTTGGTATTTCACTAAGTATATATCTGTTATTATGTAACGAATGTTGTCACGACTTTTGTAAGTCCAACCGTGAATTTTCAATCGTTTAAACTTTCAGGAACGAGGGGATAATTATAATCATAAAGTGGATATCTTTTCATTGGGATTGATCTTTATCGAATTGTTGATAATATTTAATACATCAATGGAAAGAATATTTACATTGACCCGAGCAAAACATCAAAAACTTCCTAGGGAATTTACAATCTGTAATCCATTCGAAGTGAGTTTATTTCTTACCATGTTGTTTTGATGATATTTTACATAAAACAAGACAAAAATGCTTGTTTTTTTTTGACAGGAAGTTAAAGTGTTTCATTAAAGATATTTTTGCTATAAATTAGGATTTTATAAAGGTTGAGGAACAATTTCTTGAATATCAAAATAAAAAGAGAAAAATAAATGCTAATCTATAAATGATAATCTGTGATCGAGTGATAGCTCGTCACAAGATCGAATTACTGATTTAAGATTAAAAAAAAAACAAATCACTAACCATAGGAATCTATTTTCTATTTAATACAATCACTTGCTTATACACAAATTATTAACACAAAAATAAATATGATCGAATGATATAATTAAGTGGTTAATATCATTTTTGTAGCCCCTTTACTCTCAAATCAATGAATTCGCAACTACAAGGCCTAATTCTAGCTCGTCCTATCAACTCTATATTGATTAATTGTACTGGTTTGCTTTAAATATTTTAATTTGGATTTGTATATTATTCCAATTTACAATTAGTATCGCTCACACTATGGTATGGAGTTCGATTCTATCATTGTGTATGTTCTTAACACTTGATCAACTAAAGAGTTCAGAGTGAGAAGTCCAATGTTTTATGTAGAGCTTTTTTGTTCATGGCAGGATCGATTTGATTTTTATAAATACATGCAGCCATTGACCTTTGATAGATAAATATTTTGCTTAAATTAATCTCTTACACTTGCATTGAAACACTATATAATTTGTTTGTTTTTTAGCTTACTGACTTAATAGCATTCTACTAACTTGTTATAGGATCCTTAATCTTTGTTTGGTTGAGTGATTTGTGAAGATATCAACTTAACTTGAAGATAGTTGTTGTCAATACATGACAAAAGCTATCTTTAGATCGCTATACTATTATGATCAGCTTATATGTGCTTCTTTATCAAACTGATCATTATTACATGTACAGTTTTTCCTGTATTTTGGTGACCACTGAGTTAAAGTAATACACTCATTCAGCTTAATCTGAGCAGTCGGCATAATTTTTAGCTTGTATTATAAAGCTACTTACTGAGTTCAGTATGTATTTTTTAATTATCGATTTTTGTATTATTATTTCATTATTTGTTGATGAGAACTATTTCTGTTGACGCCTAGATTAGTTAATTAACTTTTAATTTTTACACGCTTGTTTCTTTTTCTACAAATTTTCTTACAAAAATTGTCTGTTCAAGCTCTTCACATGATAAAAAACGATATCGTACGATTCTATCATTCTATTGATAGTCTATGGTTCATTATGGATCAGTTTTGATATGTTTAAGTTTTTAATTTGTTAACGTATAACGGAAACAGTGGTATTACTAGTCATCTATTCTACAGTTATAAAAATAGACTCTCTCCCTCTTTCTCTCTCTGGCACATATTTCCACACGAAATAATTTGAGTTGATATGTGAAGATTAGATTGGAAATCCTTATTGACTATGTCGTAGAATATCTAGTTCGTTTTTTGAATTCATTAAGACAATGATCGTAATCTTGAATGTCTGACATTCCAATGATTATCTGAGAAACATTTTTTCAAAGTTTCTTTACTCTAATGATTTTAATCAAAGTTTGTTAAACAATGTTTTCGTCATTTACATTTATTTAGACTGAGTTCGTTCTTAAACTTTTGGATTACGATCCGGTCAAACGTCCTGACGCTCCTGCAATCTTAGAAAGTGCACTTATTAAACAATCTGTTTCATAGCAGCAATGATGGGGTATTCATTTTTTTCAGTACTAATAGTACAAAGTTATCAGATTTCTGTTGTTACATCTTAATATATTTGTTTATATTTTAATTTGATAACCTCTCCTGTGATCTGTAAAATAAATGTGTTTTTTTATATAATGGGTTATCTTGTATAGATGCTGTTGTTTTTCCGTAAAACAAGGTTTTCTTTCATTACACAGAGCTATTTTGTCTGTGAACTGCCGACGTCGTGATTGTAAGTTTAAGTGGATATCAGTTAAGGAGGTTATAAATTGTTCATATAGCTATTCGATAAAGGCCTAAAAGTTTGCCCAAGGTGCCAAAATTCCAATAGCCAAGTGATATAAGTGACTTCCTAACATAGTATATTACATGAAATTGTAGTTAATTAGTGAGTTGTGCTACTATCAAACAAATAAAACAATTCAAGCGAATGCTAGGTACACATAATTGCTAGAAAGGCTTCGAATAGCATATCGCTTTCCTGGTATGACTGTGATTGATGCGTTTCATGGCGAACTGTCACCATATTGAATTCAACAGTAATAAACAACTGTAGGACTTGTATTCTTCAAGTTCAGTAGAAAAGTAGTTGCTCCATATATCTGGCGTAAATTTCGAAGTTCCCGACATTATATTGGTGGTCATAGTTATTTTTGCTGATATCAGTGTCGGTTAGGTCCTCATAATCCAACGGTTGGGTGTGGGGACAAATAATTAGTCTGACAGACGTCGGAAGTCCTTGTAACCAAACTTCTCCAGAAAATACGTCGTCGAACCTGTCAATTGTCTCATAGCCCTAAAGTTCAGGACGTTGACCTGTCCCCTAGCTCACACTTGTTTTGTATCTTTTGCTGTCGGTTCTCGTGAAATAATTGACTGTTTCTACTTATCATATGCTTCAGATATAGGAACGCTATATATATGGCATCCTAGTTATTTTAGCAAGTTATTGTGGCAGTGAATTTCTGACTATAAATGTCCTCCCTTGCTAAATTTATTTAGATCAAGCTTAAACCTCAAACTGATACTCTATTGCAGTTCTGTCGAATAGTATTTCACGAACAAAAATTGATTATTTTCAGGACCTCCTAGAGTACGCAACAGCATGATTTAGGTGACAAATAAACGTTTTGAATAGGGTGATTTTAAAATTGATGGTTTTTCGGGGAACCCTGGATTTCGTTTGCAAGTAATTCAGGGTCAACACAGTCTCAACACTTCTAATTACTCCAAATTGACAAGATTCTGCCAAGACCTTAAGTAATTTCAGATCCTTAAACTAAAGGTTTTAACGAGTTTTTTCATCAAGGTAAATGCAACCTTTAGGGAAATTCAAACAGGTTAATTGAGATCACCATTGAAAAACTAGCTAATTGAAAGATCAAACCGATCCCCTAGCCGTTAACTATAAATCTTGAACACATGAGAAAAGGTGCAAAATCGAGGACTGGTGAAATAGATTTATTTGACCAACAAATAAATCAAAATGATTCATGTTTAATCCACTTTCCTTATAATTTATTTACAGTTAGATTAACAGACATATTTGTTTGATCTGAATTGGGTCGTATTTAACAGTTATAATTCAGTAAATTAATGTGTGTACACATGTTTACCACATTATACATTTAAGCATTTATTTGCCTTAAGATACAAACACCTGTCACGTACAACTATGAAAAAATTTCATGTCATTTTACTCCAGCAGATTATGCTTGCCAAAACAATGAAATTTCATAACTTGTTTATTAACTGTCTTTGAGAAAAGTACATTAAGTATACTTCAAGAGGTAGAGCACAATTCTCTAGTAATCTGCATTATATTTGGGACTGTCGAATTCTCACTTTTAGAGTGTAAGAAAACCCATAATTTAGATAATTGTAAGTGATATGTGCCCACAGTATTCATATACAAAGTAGGAACTCCGTTTTCCAGTGGTATATCCTGGTAACAATGCTGTGCAGCTGCCGACTCCGGGACAACATACTCCTGCTACCCCCAAATGCCCTAGTACGACCGAGAGTGGGGTGGGTTCGCCCTCCCTCTCGAAATGCTCTCACACAGCCACGCGTATACAGCCTCTGCCAGGGAAGTCCTACTCATTGCCTTCTCGTGGCGGGGGTGTTGTTTACGAAAATGAGAGGAAGAAAAGCAAATGTCCGGCGCTTTAACCGGATCCCAAACCAATGGTGCACATGGGCTCCAGTATCTTGCAGGAACAAATGGCGTATGAACCAATTTTCGGTCACCGGCTACCATGGGACTGCTTCTCCTCACGATGCTCCACTGCCTTGTGGATCAGACTTTTAGGTCAAAGGCTCGGGGTGTGGCCCCCTAAGGAAACTACCTGCATCGGTTTGGGCACCCGGGTAGTATCACAGCCCACACACACAAATATGGTGTGCATATATATTTGGTGCCCTCTTGTACCGGTATTTGTGTTGAAATAAATAAATACCCATCGTAGAGGGGCTTAGGCCACCCGCCAGCAATCCTTTCCGGTTGTTTCCAGCTGCTGTTCATCCTTTAAATGTTTGCTTCCAATTCCCGACAGTGTGTTCTTTGGCCTTCCTCTTTTTCGCTTCCCTTCAGGATTCCAAGCTAGCGCTTGCCTTGTGATGCAGTTTGGTGATTTCCGTAATGAATGCCCTATTCAGTTCCAGCGTCATATTAGTGCGGGTAATTGCTGCTACCAATTAAATGTCAACCATAGTTATACAGATACAACCATCTGGAAACCTAAGTTACTTGAACATATTTCAAGATGATGCATAATCAAATGCACTTTGTGCATTAAAAATATCCTAATAAAATACTCAATAATCCCTATTTACCTATTTTCACATTCTCAGCAATACAGGAAGGTAGAGAGTTGTTGTTAACGGGTTTAAATGTCAGGTTTATACGATGCCAGGTGTGACAAGCTTACAGTGTATACTAAAGCTACTTGGAGAGGTCAGTCACATTATTGCTTCACAGAGCTAAGAGTATTTGGATAACATCACCGTAATACTCATCTGTTAACTACTTAAATTGATACTGTCTAGGATAATTCGGTTTATTAACGCCGTCATTAGACAGGGAAATACATAACCTTATCTGAAAAAGCCATTAAACGTCTTAAGGAATGCAGTTTATTTGCTTTTATCCTCGAAATGGAGGTCACATTACCATTTAGTGGACATCGGTTTGCAATATTCCGATTAACGTCTGTCACGCAAGGGGAATAGGTATAGTTACACTAATATCTTGAACTTTCCAGAGGAGAAGGTGTTTAACGTGATTCAATAGAATTTATTTATATAGAGTAGGAACTAACTGTGTAGTGTGCTTAGAAGTAAACGTTGTCATTAGAGAACCTTTGGCGTTTAATACATATAGTAAATGCACACAACTGCATACTCATTCAAATACTACTATAATATCGGTTTAATTGTGCCCATCAAGTGATATCATACTTTATTTATTACTTCTATACATGCTAGTCAATTCAAGTACTTGGATACACGGTGAGGAACATTGAAATTCAAGTTCTTACTTAATCCGTTTATTTTCAGTCATCTAATATACAGATAACGACAATGAAAGAACCTCGTCTCGAAAATGTTGTACTCTTCTCTTACGCGGATATTAACACGTGGTTTTTACGGAACTAAGTGAACAATTCTTAGAAAACATTGTGATATGAACACACAATCACAGTTTACTCACGTTATCGATGTAGTACTCGAAAAACCAAAAAATAAAATATACATATGTGTTTTTCAGGAATAATTTATGTTCCCACATTCTTTCTATTAGGGATAAAGTTGTTGGTATGTTTATCACGTAAGAGTCGGACTTTCGTTTAGGGCATTCTACAAATGGAAAAAACGGTTAACATTTCAATTAGCATTATCAGAAGGGGTTTTTGTGGATATTATAATAATTTAATAGTTGATTTCACGAGTCAATTGAAGCGAAACCACCATGTAATGACCGTAATATGAAACGTTTCCATCCTCATGGTAGACAAATAAATGCCCAATGTAATAAGTAAACCTAGAATTGAACGATGTTAGGTCCTACAGTGTTATGTGAAATGTGCTTGATATACATAAGGTAAAGTCAAAATGTTTGTTGAATTTAAAGCTTGTGATTTGATTGGTAAGTGGTAATTAAGCCAGCTGAAAAACGTACAGTAAATTTCTTTGAAGATAAGCCTTTAACAAAATGCAATAATAACATCTGATGAAGTCTACCTTTTCTTTGCATCACCATCTACACTGATTTACTTTCTCTTGCGTCGTGAAGGAAAGCCTGGTTTGCGACATCTATCGCTTGTGTTATTTCGTCTTTGGTACAGGTCTCGAAAATCTAACAAAGCATGTTGACTGTAATCTTGGATTACTAAGAACCGTTCCACAGAATAGGTAGATACTTATGCCCATTTTGCTTTAAGATCCATGTAAGGTATAAATAATAATCAGTCCAGGCACCAACACGTCAGTTAAACCAGCATTCGTGGACTTCATCACGGATGATCTCCGACGACAGTCACCTCAAATTTAGTAAAAGGCTGCCACAGCCTGAGAATTAACCACGAGATTTTTGTACTTTTCATTAAACTTCTAGAGTACGGCTTATGTATATAAGCCGATACCAGCCTCTTCAAACAGGACTTTAGGTTGAGACGGTGAACTGCGTAGTTAGCTGGTTTATTACCAGTTCTCAGAGTAGAAACTATGGCTACGAAAGAAAAAACCTGTTTGCTTACGGCAACGACTCTATATCATTTATTGATTTTGTTATTACAGAAGAGAACAAAATAGCCTCAAATGGTAAACTTATATAAATTGGTGTTACAGACAGCGATGCATTTCAACCATAAAATGTTAGGAATCTTTAACAGTGAAAAAAACTTTCACACAAAACTAACATTCTGGTTTATATTAATCAATGAATTATCTCTCTGGAAGTGCTATCATTCTGACACTTGGTCCAGTAATTCAACAAAGAAAACGTTTAAATAAGTGTTTGTGCTTAAAAAATTACGTTTGCATGCTTTCACAAACTCCAGTGCTTATTTAAAACAATTTCAACATACACCGTGATAATGTTTGAAAATCCACGAAATCATATTATGCAAGCTT